GCCAATAACTATACCTCCCTCCCAGGGGTTTGGTAAGGCTTAAATATTAAAACAGGCCTTATAATCTCAGCACTTTGGGGACAAAAGTGGTAGGATTGCTTGAGCCCAAACATTCAAGACCAGCCTGGGCAACATTGAGAGACCCCAAACTCAAAAAAACAAAACAAAACTTTTTGTAGAGATAGGGTCTCCCTCTATCACCTAGGCTGGAGTGCAATGGCACAATCTTGGCTCACTGCAACCTCGACCTTTGAGGCTCAAGTGATCCTCCCACCTCAGCCTCCCAAGTAGCTGGGACCACAGGCCCATGTCACCATGCCCAGCTGATTTTTTGTATTTTAAGTTTCCTCATGTTGTCCAGGCTGGTCTTGAACTCTCCGTCTCAAGTGATCCACCCCCTCGGCCTCCCAAAGGGATGGAATTATGGGCATGAGCCACCATAACTCGCCAGAAATTTTTGTTTTTTTTTTTTTTTTTGAGATGGGGTCTCTCCCAGGCTGGAGTGCAGTGGCACAATCTCAGCTCACTGCAACCTCCACCTCCTGGGTTCAAACAATTCTCTTGCCTCAGCCTCCTGAGTAGCTGGAATTAGGCACATGGCACCATGCCTGGCTAATTTTTGTATTTTTACTAGAGACGAGGTTTCATTACATTGGCCAGGCTGGTCTGGAACTCCTGACCTCAAGTGATCCGGCCCCCAGCCTGGTCAACTGAGCAAGACCCTGTCCCATACGCCCCCCCGCCCCCCACCAGAAGCACATAAAGCTCTTAGCACAGTACCATAATAAACATTTAATTTCTTTTCTTTTTTTTTTTTTTTGAGACAGAGTTTCGCCCTTGTTACCCAGGCTGGAGTGCAATGGCGCAATCTTGGCTCACCACAACCTCCGCCTCCTGGGTTCAGGCAATTCTCCTGCCTCAGCCTCCTGAGTAGCTGGGATTACAGGCACGCGCCACCATGCCCAGCTAATTTTTTGTATTTTTAGTAGTGACGGGGTTTCACCATGTTGACCAACATTTAATTTATTTTAAGATGACAGCCCTAGTGTTTTTATTTTTCTTTTGGTCTCTTCCTAGATACAAATATGGATAATTAAATAAAACTTCTTAACATCGCAACTTCTTCTCTTTCTGTAGGAAACAACCCTGTTCAATTGCATTGTCTACCTCCAGGAATTAACTAGATGACATTGCATAGTCACTTCCTTCTGGGAGATTTTTTTTTTCTATCTGTAAATGAAGACAGGAGAGGGAAGAATGTCTACTTTCTATTTTTAGCAGTCCATTTCCACAAGTGTATGTTAATTTTGTAATGTAAAAAAATAATTTTTTTTTTGAGGTGGAGTTTCTCTCTTCTTGCCCAGGCTAGAGTGAAATGGCACGATCTCAGCTCACTGCAACCTCCACCTCCCAGGTTCAAGCGATTCTCCTGCCTCAGTCTCCCAAGTAGCTGGGGTTACAGGCACCTTCCACCATGACCAGTTAATTTTTTTGTATTTTTAGTAGAGAAGGGGTTTCACCATGTTGGCCAGGTTGGTCTCGAACTCCTGACCTCAGGTGATCCACCCACCTTGGCCTCCCAAAGTGCTGGGATACGGGCGTGAGCCACCGCACACAGACAGAAATAAAAGATTTTTTCTTTTCTTTTTTTTTTTTTTTTTTTTTTTTTGAGTAGGAGTTTCGCTGTTGTTACCCAGACTAGAGTGCAATGGCATGATCTCGGCTCACCACAACCTCCGCCTTCTGAGTTCAAGCAATTCTCCTGCCTCAGCTTCCCGAGTAGCTGGGACTACAGGCGCACACCACCATGCCCAGCTAATTTTTGTATTTTTAGTAGAGATGGGGTTTCACCTTGTTGACCAGGATGGTCTTGATCTCTTGATCTCGTGATCCACCTGCCTCGGCCTCCCAAAGTGCTGGGATTATAGGCGTGAGCCACCGCACCTAGCCAATAAAAGATTTTTTAAAATTGGGGTCAGGTGCTGTGGCTCATGCCTATAATCCCAGCACTTTGGGAGGCCGAAGTTGGTGGATTACCTGAAGTCAGGAGTTCAAGAGCAGCCTGATCAATATAGTGAAACCTGATCAATATAGTTGTCTCTAAAAAACAACAAAAACAAAAAACAAACAAACAAAAAACCTGAACTAAACTGCTGTATAATATCCCTCTTTGCTTTGACATTATTTGAGCCTGAGAATCTAAGCCTCTCGCTCTTTCCCCTGTTCCCATTCCCTTCCTCCATTTCTAGCTTCTCTCTCTCTCTCTCTCTAGCCTTACAATGCAAAACTCCAGTGAGAGTGCACCATGTAGGTGGAAGGACTGCAACAAATACATTTCTCTTTTGGTCCCATATTAGGAACTGGTCCCAGAGATGGCTATAGGTGGGAACATGTAGGGAAGTTCAGAGCAGATTTGATTGCATTACTTAGCTCGAGTTCAGCCTATCTTTTTTTTTTTTTCCTGAGATGGAATCTTGCTGTGTTGCCCAGGCTGGAGTGCAGCAGCGCTATCTCAGCTCACTGCAACCTCCGCTTCCCAGGTTCAAGTGATTCTCCTGCCTCAGCTTCCCATGTAGCTGGGACTACAGGCAATCACCACCACACCTGGCTAATTTTTGTATTTTTAGTAGAGACAGGGTTTCAGGCTGGTCTCAAACTCCTGAACTCAGTGATCCACCCACCTTAGCTTCCCAAAGTGTTGGGATTACAGGTGTGAGCCACCTCGCCTGCCTTCGGCCTTTCTTTTCATATGATCACTTTTCCTTATAATTTCACTTTGTCATCCACATCTAGTACCCAATTTCCTTTAGGAAAATACAGCAGTTGAGTTAGAGAATGATAGACTTAAATGTGTGCAAACGGGGTAACAGAGAAATCACATTCCACAAAAACTATGCAACTCAATCCAGCATGGTGGCTCATGCCGGTAATCCCAGCACTTTGTGAGGCCAAGGCAGGTGGATCACTTGAGGTCAGGAATTCAAGACCAGTCTGACCAATATGGTGAAACCCTGTCTCCACTAAAAATACAAAAAAATTAGTTGGGCATGGTGGTGTACACCTGTAATCCAGCTACTCGGGAGACTGAGGCAGGAGAATCACTTGAACCCGGGAAATGGAGGTTACAATGAGCCGAGATCATGCCACTGCACTCCAGCCTGGGCAACAGAGCAAGACTCTGTCTCAAAAAACAAAAACAAACAAACAAAAAAACCATACAAACAAAAAAACTATATAGTCCACCCTGTCTTATTTCAGGTATCCTTTTTTTTTCTCTCAAGGGCCAAGTGGCTTAAGTTTTTCTCACTAAATGACATTAATCTTATCTTTTATCTCTCCTCCTCCTCCTCCACCTCCTCCTCCTCCTCCTCCTCCTCCTCCTTCTTCTTCTTCTTTTTTGTTTTTGAGACAGGGTCTTGTTCTGTTGCACAGGTCGAAGTGCAGTGGCAGGATCTTTGCTCACTGCAACCCCTACCTTCTAAGTTCAAGTGATTCTCATGCTGTAGCCTCCTGAGTAGCTAGGACTACAGGTATATACCACCATGCCTGGCTAATTTTTTTGTATTTTTAGTAGAGATGGTTTTGCCATGTTGGCCAGGCTGGTCTCCTGACCTTAAATGATCTATCAGCCTCGGACTCCCAAAGTGTTGGGGTTACAGGCAAGAGCTCTGCAGCCAGCCATCTTTTCTTTTTTAAATTAAAAAAAAAATTTTTTTTTAGATGGAGTCTTGCTCTGTCACCCAGGCTGGAGTGCAATGGCCTGATCTTGGTTCACTGCAACACCTGCCTCCCCGGTTCAAGCGATTCTCCTGCCTCAGCCTCCCTATTAGCTAGCATTACAGGCACATGCCACCACGTCTGGCTAATTTTTTTTTTTTTTTTAAGATGGAGTCTCACTCAGGCACCCAGGCTGGAGCACAGTGGTGCAATCAGCTTGATATAACCTCCACCTCCCTGGTTCAAGCGATTCTCCCACCTCAGCCTCCCAAGTAGCTGGGATTACAGCCACCGGATTGCCTCAAGTGATCTGCCTGCCTCGTCCTCCCAAAGTGCTGGGATTACAGGCATAAGCCACCACACCCAGCCCTAACCCATATCATAAAATTATTGGAATGCCACATATTCCAAATAGTTTGTAAGAAAAATGATTAATATGAAGGAAATGAAAATTTACTTGCTGAATTTCAACAAAATGCTGTGCATAGTAGGTATGTATAATCAAAAGAGGATATCAAGTTTTACTCTAGTCATGGATATACATGTTACTGTGAAACATCTTTTTTAGCTATGAAAGTCTTCAAGCAAAGCATCCACAAAAGCCGAAATAAGAATAGACCTGGGCAGGTGTGATGACCAATAAAAATACAAAAGTTAGCCAGGCATAGTGGCAGTGCCATAGTCCCAGCTACTTGGGAGGCTGAGATATGAGAATTGCTTGAACCCAGGAGGCGGAAGTTGCAGTGATCTGAAATCGTACCACTGCACTCTAACCTGGGCAGCAGAGCAAGACTGTCTCAAGAAAAAAAAAAAAAAAAAAAAAAAAAAGGACTAGATCTATAAATGACTATATGACAAATTATTTTAAAATATTGGTAGAATACCTTCCACAGGAGGCTTACATGCCGCCGCTTGTGCTGCAGCCATGTCTCTAGTGATCCCTGAAAAGTTCCAGGATATTTTGCGAGTACTCAACACCAACATCGATGCGCGGCGGAAAATAGCCTTTGCCATCACTACCATTAAGGGCGTGGACCGAAGACACGCTCATGTGGTGTTGAGGAAAGCAGACATTGCCTTCATCAAGAGGGCAGGAGAACTCACTGAGGATGAGGTGGAACGTGTGATTACCATTATGCAGAATCCACGCCAGTACAAGATCCCAGACTGGTTCTTGAACAGACAGAAGGATGTAAAGGACGGAAAATATAACCAGTTCCTAGCCAATGGTCTGGACAACAAGCTCCGTGAAAACCTGGAGCGACTGAAGAAGATTCGGGAGGGCTACGCAGCCTTCGGTGCAGTCTTCACTCGCGTCTGGCTACTAGCTCCCCGCTGCCCTGCGCTCGGCGGGCTGGCATCTGGCCGGGGGAAAAGCCGAGCAGGTCTGCGAGGCTAAGTGTCCCGGCGGCGCACCTCGGGGCGAGAATCCGGAGGAGGAGGAGACCGCAAGGATAGGCCCAGAAAAACAACCAGAAAAAAAAATCTCATCATGGCAAATATTCACCAGGAAAACGAAGAGATGGAGCAGCCCATGCAGAATGGAGAGGAAGACCGCCCTTTGGGAGGAGGTGAAGGCCACCAGCCTGCAGGAATCGACGGGCACAGGCTTGACGACTTGCTCCTAATTTTCGATGGGCCATACCCAATAGGCAGGTCAATGATGGGATGGCTGGAGATGGAGATGATATGGAAATATTCATGGAGGAGATGAGAGAAATCAGGAGAAAACTTAGGGAGCTGCAGTTGAGGAATTGTCTGCCTATCCTTATGGGAGAGCTCTCTAATCACCACGACCATCATGATGAATTTTGCCTTATGCCTTGATTCCTGCCATTTATCATGAGATTAATACTGTGATTCTCGCTGTTTTCCTTTTCCTTGCATTTTCCTAATATGCCTTTACTGATCCGTTTGCTGTGAACCCTATGTTATTTCCATGTGTCAAGTGGGTCTTGTGTTGCCAGCTTCTAATTGGAGATTGCCTTTGCACTCAGTCTAAGTTTCTGTCAGCAGAAGAGTTTCACCCATGTGCATGGAAAAATTTAAAGTTAATAAAGCAATTTAAAAAGCAAAAAAAAAAAAAAAAAAAAGAAGAAGATTCGGGCCCATAGAGGGCTACACCACTTCTGGGGCCTTCGTGTCCGAGGCCAGCACACCAAGACCACTGGCCACCGTGGCCGCACCGTGGGTGTATCCAAGAAGAAATAAGTCTGTAGGCCTTGTCCGTTAATAAATAGTTTATATACAAAAAATATATATATATTGGTAGAAAAATAAAATACATTCACTCACATTATATTCACTATAATATCACTGGCAACAAAAATATTTTTCTATAGCTAATACATAAAATAAGATAAAATAATTTGAAATAATGTTTTTAAGATAATAATTTATTAGCTATAATAAAATTAAAATTTTTTTAAGTCCTCTTAATTCTGTGTGTCCAAATCTTTTTCTTTTTTAGTGAGAGTCTGATTCCCTTTGCCTAAGCTGGAGTGCAGTGGTGTCATCATGGCTTATTGGAGCCTCAACCTCCCAGGCTCAGCCTCCCGAGTAGCTTGGACCACAGATGCACACCACCATTCTCAGCTAATTTTAAAACATTATTTGTAGGGCTAAGTGCAGTGGCTCACTCCTGTAATCCCAGCACTTTGGGAGGCCGAGGCGGGTAGATCACCTGAGGTCAGGAGTTTAAGACCACTGGCCAACACAGTGAAACTCATCTCTACTAAAAATACAAAAATTAGCCAGGCCTGATGGTGGGCACTTGTAATCCCAACTACTCAGGAGGCTGAGGCAGGAGAATCACTTGAACCCGGAAGGCAGAGGTTGCAGTGAGCCAAGATCGCAGCACTGCACTCCAGCCTGGGAAACAGAATCTGGACTAAAAAAAAAATTATTTGTAGGTGTGTGGTCTCCCTATATTGCCCAGGCTGGTCTTAACTCCTAGGCTCAAGTGATCCTCCCACTTCAGTCTCCTGAGTAGTTTTCCAACTACTCAGGCATATGCCACCAAGCTTAGGTAATTTTTTTTTCATTTTTGAAGAGACAAGATTTCCCTGTGTTGCCCGCGTTGGTCTTAACTCCTGAACTCCAGAGATCCTTCCACATCAGCCTCTCAAAATGCTAGGATTACAGGTGTGAGCCACCGTGCTCAGCATAGCACCAAAAAGTAATAAGGTCTTTTGGCCTCAAACATAAGCCAGGTTCTCCAGCCTAGACTTTATTCATTATAAAAATGACATTTTAATCTTAATCAGCTAATGGTCCAATCACCTGTGGTCCAATCTTTACTCTTAATCAGTTGACTACAACTAAAATAGCTTTGAACTGAAAAGAAAAAGTTGGTGGGGGAGACTGTTGATCTCCTAATAGTGGTGACATTTCGGTTGATTTTTGAAGACTAAGTAGAAGGTCACCGAGCAAAATGTGAGAGAGGACTTTGCAGGAAAGAATAATGAGTACAGAGAAAATTTCATGATCAAAGTTATGGAAACATTAAAGAGCCTGGTGCACCAGGGAAGTATGTGGCTGTTGTATTTAGGGTAAGCATTGAAATGTGGTAGGAAGAGAGGCTGGTGGGCCATAGGCATGGGTCCAGATCAATGCTAGCTCTATACGTCTCCTAAACAGGGCTTGTTTTTATCATGTTCTTCACTGGTTTCCTAGTGCTTGGAACAGTGTCTGGCTAAGGGAAAGGAATGAAAGACATTTCATACTATGTTTAATAAATTTGCATGTTCCCCTGTAAGTAATAGGGGATTTCGTTTTTCAGCCACTCCCTTTCATCTGTGAGCTAGCTCATATCATTTTTTCTATTTCCTTTTTCTTTTCTTTTCTTTTTTTTTTTTTTTGAGATGGAGTTTCACTGTTGTTGCCCAGGCTGGAGTGCAATGGAGTGATCTTGGCTTACCACAACCTCTGCCTCCCAGCTTCAAGCAATTCTCCTACCTCAGCCTCCTGAGTAGCTGGGATTACAAGCATGCACCACCATGCCTGGCTAATTTTTCATATTTTTACTAGAGACGGAGATTCTCCATGTTGATCAGGCTGGTCTTGAACTCCAGACCTCAGGTGATCTGCCCGCCTCAGCCTCCCAAAGTGCCAGGATTATGGGCATGAGCCACTGTACCGGGCCCATTTTTTCTTAAGTTAACCATGGTTGCTTTCTGTTGCTTGCAACCAAAGAACCCTGCCTGATTTAGTTGCCATAGTTCCTGCCCTTACAGGAGACACATCCCCTGTAAGGGAGTATCTCTTACAGGAAGACTATCAAGGACATTTAAAGTGCTTTTAGTAGTGGGCCACAAGTTCAGAAATCCCAGGGTGTGCAACCACTGGCATTTAAACTAATGGCAAATCAAGAGGGTTGGTGTGCATTGTAGATGGAAGTCAAGTGTATGTATTTAAGTCAAGTGTATGCAACATATGAATGAGCAGAAACATTAAACATAACCTTTAGGAAAAGACAACAGGCAAGTGCAAACAAAAAGAAAACTGACTATGCATTATTCATATCACAAAATAAATTCAAGGAAAGCAAAATCTATTCAGATATTTACTAAAAGGAGAGCACTACATAACAGAGCTTATGGGAATGTGCCAAAGCTCCACTTACAAGAAGATTAACAACCTTAAATTTCTTTATTGTAGAACTAAGAATGAAAATACCTAAACTGAGCAGTCAGTTCAAGAAAAATGACAAAAAGAAGAGAGCAGAAGGAATGAGAATTTGACCACTGTCCAGTTCATAGGTGTGGGACAAGGAGAGGAAAAAGGGCCTTTCAAATGAATAAATAACATGATCAGAGAGGTGCAAGTATAAGCAAGGGAGCCCAGTTTCACAGAAGCAAGCGGGACAGTTTTTTAGTTTGTTTTTGTTTTAGTCAGGGTCTTGCTATGTTGCTCAAGCTGGTCTTGAACTCCTGACCTCAAGCAATCCTCCCACCTCAGCCTCCTAAAGTGCTGCTGGTGGGATTATGAGTGTGAGCCACCACACCAGGCCATGGGAAATGGAGGTTTTTTTCTCCATTTCCCATGCTGGAGTGCAGTGGCATGATCTCAGCTGATCATCAGAGGACTAAAGGTTATGAGTTTGACAGAATTCTGGAGGAGGGGCTTCTACTAACTGGCTTTGTAAATTCCTTAGAATTCCAAAAGGCATCAAGAAAGAATCAAAGGTGAAGCAATAAAACCCTCAAGAAAGCATTTATTTCAGAAGCATTCTCTGCTCAAAACCTCTAGCAGACTTCATTGCCTCTGATACAGATTAGGCTCTTCAGCCTGGCATTTGAGGGTCTCCTTGCCATTTCTGTTTCCCAGTGCTTCCCTTTACATCCCCCAAGGTCCAGCAAAATTGCACTGCTTGCTAACTGCACTACATGATATTCCCCGAACTCTTCTTTCCTGTGCCATCTCTAGGTGTTTGCCCTCGTGGGGAAGAAGCTCTGGAGCACCAGCTGTGGTCAGAGTTCTCTCAGTGCTTGTGCCCATTCTCATCTCAGCCAGAGTACAGAGACCTTCTGGAGTGAAGGATCCATGATGATCAATGATGAGTTGTAGGGCCCACAGCCTTTTTCTCTGATAATTTTTAAATTCAAGGATTTTTTTTGTTTGTTTATTTGTTTGGTTGTTGTTTTTTTGAGATGAGTCTCAGTCTGTCACCCAGGCTGGAGTACGATGGTGCAATCTCACCTCCACTCCAACCTCCACTTCCTGGGTTCAAGCGATTCTCCTGCCTCAGCCTCCGGAATAGCTGGGACTACAGGCTTGTGTCATCATGCCTGGCTAATTTTTGTATTTTCGGTAGAGATGGGGTTTTACCATATTGGCCAGGCTGGTCTTGAACTCCTGACCTCAAGTGATCCTCTCACCTCAGCCTCTAAGAGTAATGGGATTACAAGTGTGAGCCACTGTGCCCAGCCTGTAAATTGAAGTATAATTCATATAAAATAAAATGCATAAATCTCAAGTATACTGTCCTGTGAGTTTTGACAGTTGTATTCACCTTGGTAATTATATAGTTTGGCTGTGTGCCCTGGCAAATCTCATCTTGAATTCCCACATGTTGTGGGAAGGACCCCATGGGTGATAATTGAATCATGGGGGCAAGGCTTTTTTTTTTTTTTTTTGAGAGGAAGTCTTGCTTTGTTGCCAGGCTGGAGTGCAGTGGCGCGATATTGGCTCACTGCAATCTCCGTCTCCTGGGTTCAAGCGATTCTCCTGCCTCAGCCTCCTGAGTAGCTGGGATTACAGGCACACACCATCACACCCAGCTAATTTTTGTATTTTTAGTAGAGACAGGGTTTCACTATGTTGGCCAGGATGGTCTTGATCTCTTGACCTCCCAAAGTGCTGGGATTATAGGAGGGAGCCGCCAAGCCTGGCCTCTGGGGGCAAGTCTTTCCTGAGCTGTCCTTGTGATAGTGAATAAGTGTCACAAGATCTGATGGTTTTTAAAAGAGGAATTCCCCTGTACAAGCTCTCTTTCTTTGCCTGCTGCCATCCATGTAAGATGTGACTTGCTCTTCCTTGCCTTCCACCACGAACCTGAGGCTTCCCCGTCACATGGAACTGACTCCAATTAACTTCTTTCTTTCGTAAGTTGTCCAGTCTCAGGTATGTCTTTCTCAGCAGTGTGAAAATGGGCTAATACAGTACATTGGTTCCAGTAGAGTTTGGTGTTTCTGAAAAGATGCCCAAATGTGGAAGTGACTTTGGAACTGGGTAACAGGCAGAGGTTGAAACAGTTTGGAGGACTGAGAAGAAAACAGAAAAATTTGGGAAAGTCTGGAACTCCCTAGAGATTTGTTGAATGGCTT